TACCACAATGCGCCATTTATACCTGTTGCAAAAAAAAAAACTTTCAATTCTTCCCAATTACAACAACACATAATGTCTAATCCAATACCCAAAAAATTCAACTATTCTTTAAACCAATTTTTTTACTCCAACGAAAAAACCAAAAAAAAATATTCCCAATCGATTAATCCTCCAAAACCTAATACCCATAATCGAACAATAAAATACAATTCATCTATATTTTGAATAAATTGAAAGCCATAATTCTAACCCTAATTTCGAAAAACCCTAAGCCCAACAACAACCAACCAATACACAATTGACAATTTACAAAAAAATTCCAATCTCCAATTCAACATACACACATAATCGATAAACAATTAACAATTCTCAGTCTTCAAACACCACCATATTCAAACATACTATAATAATTTCCAATTTCCAAACAACTACAAAGGATGTTAAAAGTTGAGATAAGCCAAAATACCTCGTGCAAATGAATTAACCGGAAATGAGGTTCGTGTCGATGTTGTCGGTTCCCGCTGGGCTGGGAATGAGATCGCGTGTTTTTTTTCCCGAAGGTTTGAAATCGGGGATCGCTCTCTGCTCTCTCGTCTCTTTGTGCGCAAAGTAAAATGGAGAAGAAGAGAATTTCTTTTTTTATATTTAATATTAAAAACGTATTTCCTTTATATGTTTTACTTCCATTTATTTGTAAACGTATTTTCTTTATACGTTTTTGGTTTTTTTTTATTAAAACGAATTATGCGTTTTATTAAAATGCATTCTTTAATGAATGTTTTCAGTCAATAAAAAATGTATTTACATTATACATTTTTTAATTAGAAGATTTTCTTTTTTTAATTAAATAAAAAACGAATTTTCAAAATACGTTTTTTAAAACCCTAAAAATCAATTTTAGGGTTTCAGAAAACGTATTCGTGAAATAAAGTTTATAATTATCATTTTTTTAAACGGAAATAATTTATTTGAATTTTACAAATATAATTTTTAAAACGTATTACGGAAATACGTTTTTCTAATTAAATATTATTAGAAAAACGTATTCCAAGAATACATCCTTTTGATTTTTTCCACCCCTTATATATATATATATATATATATATATATATATATATATATATATATATATATATATTTGTCCACTAGTTTTTTGATTTTTTGAAATAAATAAACTACTCTTAATTAGTAAGTAGCTCGTATGATGGAAGGTGCAAAAATATTAAATGGTCAAATTCCACATAGTCTGTTTGTTAGGCTATGTTTGACAATCAAATAAATTAGCTTATAACTTATTTGGTGAACTTAGAAATTTAATGTATTCAAATAAGTGTCGTTTAGTATAACAAACTCTTTTAAAAATCTCGAGCTTATCTCATAAGCTTCTTTGAGTAGTTTTTCAAATAAACTCGTTAAATTTTTTATTATAACTTAGCTTATCAGCTAATTTTTCAAACAACATTTATCATATAAATTAATTTTTTAGCTATAAGTTATAAGTTAAAAAATGACTTATAAGCTATAAGCTAGCTTATCAGCTATTAGCTGACTTATTAACTAGTTTTTCTAAATATAGCCTTATTATTATAGTATTGAATCATCTATTTTTAAAATACTTTAATCAGTGATATTTTTTTGGCTGGACCATTAAACTTGAGACCGTTAGGGTTAGCCTATAAAGTCCTCCATTTATTAATGCTCTAACCCATTTATATTATTATAAATAAAATTTCAATAGACATATTTGTTTCTTGATGTAATAAAAAAATAATAGTTTGATTATCTTTACTATATAATACGCAACTATTATTTTATTATTAAATTTATTGTCATATAATTTTAGTATTATTATTATTTAAAGTTATTGAGGTATTATTCTTTTTTTCTTTTATTGATAATTATATAATGTAGATTAATATTATTTATTAATGCAACAAATTTTAAATTCTATAAATAAATTTAAACTATTTTAGAATCTTTCATGTATTATAATAGTTATAAAAGAAAAATAATTTCGCACATGTAAATTATATGTCATCAATAATAACTAATTGATGCAAAACTTGATCGCATTAAAAAAGGTAACACATTTTGGTTTATTTATGTTAATTAACCAAATAATCCAATTAATCATGCAACCTCAAGTTTTTTATCCATTATGCACTGAAAATTAAATTTTTCATAATAATTTAAAACCTTTGATTAGGACATTGTCATGAAATAAATCTCTTCTATAGTCATGAGATTTTTCTAATTGGCGTCTTTCAATTTTATATTTTATTTACCATATTATGCAATGAAAATGAAATTTACAAAAAATTGTTAATGGAAAGAAAGCAAAATTACACATGATAAAAGGAATTCCATTTGTAGGTTTCCTGTATATTTAATATATTATGTAATATATGAATAAAAAACATGTTTCTTTAACAATTATGATAAATTGTTGACTAATTATACTTAATTTGCATAATTGTAGATGTAAAATTTGAACATTATCACACCCTATATATATAAAGAGAATAACCATTTACTAAAAATAGTAGCTTAAAAAATATGAAAATAATTAATGCATAACTTCTTTAGAAAATTTGAAAATATATGCATTATGATTCCATATACACAATTCCAAATCAGATCAAATTAAATATGATGAAAAAGATTCTTTACTTGAATAATTTTATTAACATTTGCAAAAATTTCGTTGATATCCATTATAATAAACTATAAACTTAATTTTTTGTCATTCATGTTGATTATTTTTTTTTCTTTTGTCAAGATAGACATAAAAAATATTTAAATTCTAAGCATATTATTTTTTTCACAAATATTAATTTTTCATCTTAAAATATTTATGGAAAATTGTAATAGGTTAAGTAATTTTTCCTTCATCTTTATTTCATTATATACATAAAAAAAATATTCTTCAAAATAATATAATTACCATTTAGGAGATAATGACCAAATACATTAAATAAATTACTAATTTCAAAATAATGAAATTGAAATATATTAACTGTTCTTTAGAACTTCAACATATGATTTATTTGTGTATTATTGTTAACCATGATTATTTCTTTATTTTATTTTTATTTTGATTCCTTTCCATCGTGATTTTTTTTAAAAAATAGATTTTCATTGCATAGTATGCTGAATAAACTATAAAGTCTTATGATGCAAATTAGAAAAAAAAAAAAATATCTTGATTATAGAAGGGTTTTAGTTTTTGGAAATTACTAAATCAAAGATATTTAATTATTATAAAAAATTGAATTCTAAAAATACATGTGTGTATAATTTGTAAAATATTTGTACACAATGTTTTATTTAAAATTTATTTATATAATTTAAATTAATTACATTAATAAATAACATTAACATACATTAAATGTTATTTATACATAAAATAAAAAGAAGAAGAAGACTACTACTATAACTTTTATAAATAATAATAATAATGACATTATATTGCGACAAATATTATAATAAAATAATAATTGAGTATTATACGAGAAACAAGAATAAGTAAAATTGTTATTTTTCTTATATCAAGGAATAAATATATTTACTAAAATAAAATTTATATTACTATAAACTTGTTGGCGAGATAATATACTAATTACTTTACGGGCTAGCGCTAAAAGACTCAGGTTTAACGTCCCGACTAACAAATGACACTAATGAAAAGAGGTGAAAAATAAATGATTTAAATCTATTATTTTTTAGGCTTTAACGGACAAACCCTATGGAAATAACTCATTTATCTATGCCCGGTGCATCACACGAGCTACTTAATAGACAAGCTCTATGAAAATTACTCATTTAATATCTTTGCCCAGTGCATCGCACGAGCTACGTACTAGTTAATGTAATATTACATTACCAAACAATATATTTAATTAATGTATCATTACCATGCATTGTAAGGTTACTTTCCAGACAAAAATAATGAATGATTTGACCAGAAAAACTAATTTAGAAAAATTGAATTTATTAGTAATTACATATCATAATTTTGGGAAGTGCAACTATAGGTGTTGACCGGATTATTGTAAAAAAAATTATTTGGCTTGAAACTAATTAAAATTTTTGTATCAAATAAGTAATTTTTTATTAATGAAAGAAATGAGAATGAATCTGTACCATTGAATACATCATACCAATGGATATGATCAAGTCAAACTTTAATGAATAATGGTCAATCATTAATGGTAATATGGTAAATAAATATACACATAGTGGTCAAATGTACATAATTGACCAAATAGTAAGGGTAAAACGGGAATTACACAAAATTACAACTCACCCCCACTCATAATGGGCCTCACTCAATACTACCCACGTGATATCTCTCACCAACCCCATCAACCCCTTCGTGACCAACCTTTCCCATCTCTCACTCACAAACACACACTTAAAATTCACACACACACACACAGAGTGAACAAACGCGCACACACACCACCACTCACGGCATCGGCTCCGCGAGATATGGCTGTACACCGCCAATTTCCACAGCCGCCATCATTGCATCTCTCATCCACGTCGGCAGACGTTACCTCGGTCCGACGTTACCTTGACGTCGCCGGCGTTAGCTGGCCCGCTTCCTCCAGCCCAATTGCATCCACATCTTGCCCCCGCCTCAGTCCAGTTTGTCCCGTCGCCGCCATAGCCACAGTCAGTCGCCCGTCTTGCGCCACACTTATACTTACGGCGACAATCGCCATGTCGTGTGGAGTTAAGATGAAGATGATGAAGCAGAACGCCGGCAAGCTGGTGGGTGAAGGTGCACGTGGACAGAAGATGGATGGCGGTGGGCGGAGGGCGGAGGTAGGGGGTGGGACAAAGGGCTGACGGGATTTTTTCTATTTTTCTTCTTTTTTTTTTCAGGGCTGATTTTTTAGAATTGAACAATTCATAGGGACTTCTATAGTCACCTCTTCTGCTCAGAATGGGAACCCATTTTGTGGAAGAGAAGCTGGATAGGTTTTTCTCTTCCTATGGCTGGCTCTCCCATCATCCCATTACCTCCTCTGCCAATATTTGTAGAAGCTCCTCAGATCCTAACCTCATCCTACTCACAGATACCCCCAGATATCTCCCTACCTAAGAAAATGTTATATTTTGATAGGAAGTGGATAGCTAAAACAGGAATTCAAGAAGTCATTGCCCAAGTGTGGACTTCCCAGCACTCAGGCACACCCATGTTCCAAGTTCAGAGCAAGATTAAAGATACCAGAATCTCTCTTCTGAAGTGGAGTAGGAATTTCAAAACTGAAAACTCCAAAAAGATTGCTGATATTACCAAAGAGCTGGACATCTTGAGATCACAGGGAGGTGATAGAGACTGGCAAGAATGGCATAGACTGAAATCTCAGTTGGACAAAGCCCACAGAGAAGAAGAATCCTTCTGGCACCAAAAGTCAAGGATACAATGGCTTAAATCAAGAGACAAGAACACCCACTTTTTCCATGCCTACACCATGCAAAGGAGGAAAACCAACTAGATTTCCAGGCTGCTCAGAGAGGATAATGTTATTTGTGAAACCAAGGAAGACATTGAAGGTTGCATTGTTGACTTCTATAGTCACCTCTTCTGCTCAGAAGGTACATGGGAACCAGAAGGGCTCCTAGACTGCATTCCCACCACCATCAGCAGTTCTACCAACAGGTCACTCTTAGCTCAAGTTGGAGAGAATGAGATTAAGAGAGTGCTTGACAGCATGAATCCCAATAAGGCCCTAGGCCTTGATGGTATGTCCCCTCTTTTCTACCAAAAATTTGGAACATTAGTAAGCCTCATCTTTGCATTGCCATTTAGAGTTTCTTTGAATCGAGCCAAATTCTAAAGAGTTGGAACCACACAACAATCACTTTGATTCCAAAATCCCTTAATCCCACTTAGGTGGCAAATTATAGGCCCATCAGCTTGTGTGAGGTTCCTTACAAAATTATTTCTAAAATTTTGGCCTTTAGACTTAAGCATTGCCTGCACTCCTGCATCTCTGACAATCAAAATGCTTTCATTCCTGGTAGAAGCCTCATGGATAATGTAGTGGTTGCTCATGAGGCCATTCACTATCTAAATAGACACACTACTGGTTCTAAATTTCTGATGGCTCTTAAGCTTGATATGGCAAAGGCTTTTGATAGAATTGAATGGGTTAGCATTAGAAAAATCATGATAAAGATGTGGTTTGATATTAAATTTGTAAATTGTATCATGGCTTGTGTGATTTCTCCTCACTATTCTTTTAATATTAATGGTTCTGTGAGTAGTTTTGTGGCTCCATCTAGGGGCATTAGACAAGGAGACCCCATATCTCCATATATATTCATTATTGTTGCTGAGTTATTCTCTTGCCTCATCAAAAAAGCTATTGCTACTGGAGATTTGCAGGGAATTAATCTCTCTAGAGGTGGCCCAACCCTCAGTCACCTCTTCTTTGCAGATGACACTATCCTTTTTTGCCATGCCAATAACCAAAATGCTGCTGCCATCCTCCAAATTCTCCAAACCTATCAACAGTTCACTGGCCAGAAAGTAAACCTACAAAAGTCTTCAATATTTTTTAGCAAAATCACTCTCATTCCAACCCAAAACTCTATTTGCAGCATCCTTAATGGTATTCAACCCCAGATTTCTTGTAAGTACTTGGGATTACCTCTCCAAATTAGCCACTCTAAAAAGCAAACTTTTTCATATGTGACTGATGTTGTCAGATCTAGGATTTTGAGCTGGAAAAATAAATTTCTCTCCCCTGCTGGTAGAGAAATCCTTATAAAATCAGTCCTTAATGCATTACTTATCTTTGTGATGTCTTGTTTTATCATTCCTATTTTAGTGTGTGATGAGATAAACAGGTTAATAGCTGAGTTCTGGTGGAGCAAAGGTGATAATAGTGGAAGAGGAATTCATTAGAAGAGCTGGAAGATCCTATCACTTCCCCTGGAAAATGGTGGTTTGGGTTTCTCTGATCTGAAGATCTTCAATGAAGCTCTCATCTTCAAGCAACTTTGGAGAATACTCACCAAGCCCAACCTTCTCATGAGCCGAATACTTAAGAGCAAATACTTCCCCAAAGGCTCCTTCCTTGAATCCAAACTCCTGCTAGCAGCTCATGGCTTTGGAGAAGCTGGATGAAAGTTTGTCCTTCCTTTAAACAGCACCTCAGAATGATCATTGGTGATGGTCAAACTGCTATAATATGGATCATCCTTGGCTGCACAACCTCCCAAATCTCAAGCCCAGCAGAAACCCATGCAGCCTTCACACATTATCCAAAGTTTGCCAAGTCATGAACCAAGCAGACAACTGTTGGAATACTAATCTAATCAGAAACACCTTCTCATCCCAGGAAGCTGATGCAATCCTTGATATTGGTAGCCATGACAGATCAAGGCCAGATAGGTTCACTTGGGCTCTGGATAAGAAAGGCTCCTTCTCAGTCTCCTCAGCTTATGCCCAGCTCATCAAAGGAAAAATCAGCAAGCTTGATATTCCTGAAAGTAGCACTCAGTCCTCCTGGATTAGCAAAGTCAGAACTTCAAGTTGGAAGTTAAAGATCAAGAGGACATTAAAACACTTCATATAGAAATGCTTCAATAACACCCTACCTTGATGCACTAATCTGGCCAAAAGAGGTATGCTTGTGGACACCATTTGTCCTGTCTGTGGTGATTTTGAGGAAACTGTTGAGCACATCTTCTTTCACTGCTATAAAGCTCAAACTACTTGGAAACTGGCACCATTAATCTGGAATAACACCAACCCTGGGACCCCTCGCTTCAAACAATGGTGGAAAGATGTCTGCTTAAACAAAGGCCAGGTTGCTGTTGATAGAATTGAGCTCACCACATACATTTTGTGGGGGCTCTGGAAAACTAGAAACATGTGGCTCTTCAAGAAGATTTTTCTGCCAGAAAAGGAGGTCATCAAAGCTGCTCTTCTTGAATGGCAGGAGTTTTCTACAGTCCACAGCTCATACTGATGTTTTGGCTTACCTTATGTTGTTGTTTTTGACATATTTCTGTGTTGTGTTAATATTTTGATTGCTGACTGTCTTTCCCTTCATCTTATTCATCTTATGTTCCCTCCTTTCTCCTGTTAGCTCCCTAGCTAGGTTCTTCGGTTCAGTGGCTAATTATTTTTTTTGCATTTGTTCTAGATAGGTTAGCTAAAGGTCTCAGTATGTTTTACTGCCTTTTAGTGGCTTATCTGATGTTTGTATTCCTTAGTTCCCACGGGGGAACTCCCTATTTGTATTGGCCATTCGGCCTCTCGAACAATGTACATTTCTTCAAGTTTATTCATATCTATCGTTTCGAGAAAAAAAAAAAAGAACAATTCATAGGGACTTTGATGAAATTTTAAAATTTATATTTTTTGTATTTTAATATGTGTGGCATTCTTGTAATTTATCAAAAGTCTCATAAGTACACATTACAATACAAATAGATGCACAATATTATTGATTAAAATGCACATTATATAGATTTTGCAATGCTTATCGTTCGGTTAGTTAGTTTGTTTGTTTTGGTCATTTAAATAATAATGTCGACATAGAATCGAAATATTGAAAATTTTAAAAGTAAAAAGTAAATAATTAAATTTATATATCGATTTGTTTGATCGGTTAAAATTATTATCATTAAATACTCAACATAATTTATTATTTATATTATAAAGATATATTGAGCATTTTCAAATCTATATTTAATTCTTTATATTATTTTTCGGTTGAAATCGACAATGTGCATTCCTACGGAAACTAATGTGCAATTCATTTAACATTATTGTGCAATCTATTGAGAGGGTTTTCCTTTCTACGTGCATTTCAATATTTTGCATCTGTCAAATTACTCGTACAATAAAAATATATTTAGCATTTTTATATTTATTTAAAATTATATATTTTTGTTAGTTGAACATAAATAATAGACATAGAAAATATAAAAAAAATAAAAATATTTTGGGTTTTTTTATTGTGCATGTTCCCGGTAAATATTGTGCATATTACTCACCATTATTGTGCATTTATTTAATTTTCATTACATTACACATTAGCACGAAATACTAAATTGCAAATTTATTAAAAGTTAAAAAATTGCATATTGGACTCTTGCCAATATAAAAATACATTTAGTATTTGAATAATTATATTTGGTATCTTATATTATTTGTGGTTGAAAAGACATAATACATAAAAATAAAAATAATCGATAATGTGCATTATTACATACATTAATGTGCAACTCATCTAATGTTATTGTGCAGTCTATGTGAGTTTGTTTTTTTTCTTTTTGTGCATTTCAAATTTTAGGAAGCTTTAATAATGTGTATTCCAATCAATATTTTGTATTTGTCAAATTACTCATACCATATAAATATATTTAGCATTTTTTATATTTATTTAATATTATATATTTTTGTGTGTTGAACATAAATAATATACATATACAATATATAAAAAAAAAAAATATTATGCTTTTTTTATTATGCATCTTACTCACCATTATCGAACATTTATTTAACTTTCATTACATTACAAATTAGCCCCAAGCTCAATTGTAAATACATTAAAAGTTAAAATTTTCATATTAGTCCTTTGCACATGTCTAATTCTCAAATCATGGCCCAACCCCCAACTCAAAAAGAGAAATAAAAATAAATAAATAAATAAATTATGTCTAACATAACTGTTCACCACCGTTATTCGCCGCCACACGCAGCCATCTACCTGGTGGCTCTCGACTCCGTCAATCTCGCCATCGACCAATGTTTAGCAGCTCGTATTCACCCCGTCCGACCCTGATTCCGACACGGTGACACCATCTCTAGCTGTCTGACGTTCGTCGTCAACACATTATCATCGTCCGCATCGTCATCGCTTCGCCCCTGCGTCTTGGAGCTCCACGAACTCGGCGAAAGGGACTACTACTTGAAAGTAGCTCCGAACAAGCTATCCGTCGGAACTCTGAAATCGAACACGGCGATGGCGCAGTGGAGGAGGCGGCAAGATCCGTGATGATTCCAGCGGCAACGGTCTATCGGCGACTAGGTTTGTGGTGCTTCCATCGGCGTTGTATGAAACAACTTCCATGGCGGGTGGTCGCTGGGGTGGCCGACGGTGTTTAAAAGCGGTTCTCAACGGCGGTGGCCGATGGCTAGTGTCTGTGAGAGGAGGCGAGACTCTTAGGTGTGGTTGTGCGTCGCTCCGATACTGTCGTTAATTCTTTCCGGCAGTGAGTTAGAGAGAGAGAGAGAGACGTGTTGTGTGTGTGTATAAGAGATAGAGAGAGAGTAAAGAGAGAAGTGAGTGGAGAGGGAAAAGAGAGAGAGAGGAAGGGTGAGAGAATGAGATGTAATAGCTGCCAACTGGTAGGATATGTGTTTGGGTGGGGCCCACTGATGTTTATGATTTATGAAATGTCCAAAAGTTACCCTTAATGAGTGTAAAAATGTGATTTTTTTTTTTTTTTTTGATGACTACGATTTATTCTTTTTTCTTTCACTAAGCACCATTCTCACATGAGCGTGACCCTCTATATATATATATATATACACATATTTGTAGTTAAATCTAAGAAGGAATGTATGAATACCTAAAACACTACAAGAAATTAGAAAAATG